AATACAGAAAAGTACATGTCATTACTGAGCCACCAGGAGCTAATTAGGTTCTCATCATTCTATCCTATACCATCAAGGAAAGGTCACTTTTTTGTTTAAAATGGAGCTGGATAAACAAAAACAGTGTAAAATCTGTGTTAAATGAATCAACAGTGTAATTACTTTGGGTAACTATCTGTATAGCAATTCTAATAAAAACCAGGATTTTTGCTCAGAAATCACATGCCCCCTGAAAGTGACGAGAGCCCAGCTCCTGAAGGCTCTTTCTCTTGGGCACCAATACTGGTCACCACATCAGCACTCTCATCCATTCTTCCTGACATTCTATTTTAACTGAATTACTTCCCTTTTTGACTGATGCTGTATTTTAATTGGTTTTGGTTGTGGTTTAAACAACATCAGGCCCGGAAAAGTAAAATTTTTTCCATTTCTCTTGTCCCTGAGGAGTTTATACTAGAGACATGCTACCAGTAAGAGAGATTGTGAATAAATCCCAAAGACAGTATTAAAACAGATCTGGTTGTTAACTAAAATCAATAAATTAATGTGCTCTGTTAAAGAAGTCCTGTTACATTGATTTTTCAAGCTTGGGCTTTGATTTCTTCCCTTTCTCAGAAACCTGATTGCTCATTTTCACTTTCCCACTGCTGATGTAAGACAGTATCTCAAATTCCTTTTGTTCTTTTTAATCATATTTATTTCCTCTATTAGATATTGTGGTGAACTTTCAGCTTCAGAGTCTTTGAAGCTTTTCTGACAGATTCATGGCCTATCCATAGACAGATGGAAAGATGACCAGGAGCCTCTTAGATCTTTCCTTTACTCAGTAATTATTTTTCTTATCTGTTTTCCTGGGCACCTCCTGCTTTAAACAAGAAGTTTGCAAAGAAGGATTTTAAACTGACTGCCATGGTGATAAGGCAGATGGGTCTACAGAAATATTCAGCCTATACCTTACCAAAAGTGTTTAAAAAAAAAGATGCCTTAAAGAATGACTTTGGGAAAAAGGTAAACACTACAATTTATGGCAGTTAGCCATATTAGCTTTTTCTTTTTTGAGGAGGCTTCCTTTCCCTTAGCTCCAGTGCAGACTGAGATTTTCAAAAGGAAAATTTACTGTTGTGGAATACATATAAACCAATCACGCATTTTGGAATCATTCTTGTGTAGTCAAACATATTTTGGGAGTAAAAATAAAGAAAGCTCTAAGTAGCTACAGCAGTTATTATAAAAAAAATTCTCTCTCCTTTACCGTGTGAAAGTACCTTCTGTATACTGGAGGTCACCAAGAGTAAATTACAGTTGATCTGGGAACACAACTATTTTCACCTTATATTTTATATCCCTGAAATTTATCTCAGATGTAACAAAAAAAAAACCAACCCTGTCAAACTTTTTATAAAACAAAGATTTATCAAGATAATTGTATTATATATAGATTATATTTCAAACATACTGTCTTTAAAGCAACTAAAGAAGATCCATACTATGGAAATCCATGTAATACACCAATTCTTGACAGAAAAAGATATATTGGTTGGAGATATCATCAGGAAAATTTTTACAGGATAGCTGAAAAAAGACAAGTCATAAACATGAGGAAATAGAGTAATAAAATTGTCTAAGAAGAAGACAGTGTTCCCTATAGGGAAGACAATTGAAAGAATAAAGGAAAAGTGGACTTATCAAACAACAATAAACTTTTCAGCCTTTGTAAGCAAGTCAGATTCTGCTGATTTCTCAGACAGAATAGACTGTGGTTGGCTCACTTCAGTATTTTTGTTTGTCAGAGATAACATCAGAAAATGACTGAGGAGGTGGAGAGACAGGAGGTCAGGCAGTGTGGGCATTGAGGACAGAAAGATAAAAGAACTTGCAGCAGTCAAAGAGGCAGTAAGTGTCTGATGAGGATAACAAGTCCTTTCAAATAAAAAACAATAGGAAGATATTAAGACACCATTTTCAAAAGAAACTTGACTCCCTCATAATAATAATAATTCATAAGACAGTAGACTTAAGAGTGATTTCTAAAATGTCAGAAATAGATGAAGTCTTGACCACAAAAATAAGATTTTACCCTTCCTGCTTGCCATGGAGTTCTGCATAATAAGAGGCAAAACACCTAAAACTGAAGTTCTCACAGGTGGTCGCTAATTGGATGTTTTTCATTTTTCTAATCTTGACTTGGGAGCCCGGGGTCTGGTTTGAAAAAATACTGAACATTTACAACTGTGGCTCATTAAAGAATGAAGTTATTTAAGGACAAGTACAGCCAACTTTGGCCCCTCTCCACTGCCTGGAACTGAGCCACCTGAAACAGAGAGACAGACAGATTCAGTCTCTGAGAGGAATGTTTAACCCTCGTTATAAAATTGAGAAACTGAACCTAAAAGACAAAAGTAAAATTTGGCAAGGCAATTTTCATACTTTTGTGCTCTATTACATCCCAGCTAATAAACTTTCCTGGATTCAGAAGTGACATGTCCCCTTCTAATTATATTTTTGGACCAATATCTCCAAAGAGGTCCATATTGTCCTCTTTTTGCACAAGAACTGTTATTTCCTTCTCTGTATTTATTTTCCTAGCCCATGGTGGGAATTATAAATTCTGGAGCTAACTCCAGGAAGGAAGCTGACCTATATGAAGAAGGCACACACACCCTAACTCCAACCTGATCTTCTGCACGGCATTCCTCAAAATTTAAAAAATGAACAAATAGGTGTAAGTCTTCACAATATATAATGATGAATATTACAGACAAGAAGAGGAAGTTAGTATTTTTAGAGTAAGAATGAGCAGTATGCCAAAACAGCTATACATCCACATGTCAAAAACAAAGAAAAAAGTATGTTGTTCTTTGGAGGAGCACCATTCATCAGAATAATTGGAGGAACATTTTCAGGGAAAAAAAGTGTTGTCCAGTGTAACAGTAGTCATCATAAACAAACATAGGAGTCATTTAAAATTATAGGTATGGTCTGGAGATGGCAAAATTGATTAACTGCTTGCTGAAGGAACCTATCCCAGGTACCTTAAAAGTAACTTAATTTAGATTTCTAATATTTATACAGCTAAAAACATATACTTGATGATGTAAAAGAAAAAGGAGTTAAGGATAGATATTCAACCTCAAGTCTAAAATTCCTTAGTTCTGCATACTTGATTTTTCCAACTTTAACCCTATTTAGGCAGGTTTTAAATTCTTTTTATACACTGGATATTTGTCCCTTTTAAGGTTTTCCTGTAATGCAGCGTTTCAAAAACCTAAACTTGAAGGGTTTCTGTATACTATTTTTTAAAAAATAGTAATGCCTTATTCAGAAAGCAACCCAACACATACAGAAAAAAACAGCCAAAACTTTCATGGGCATCCCCAAAGTTACAAATTTGTATTTCCATATGGCAAACATTATTATGTCACATTTCATCTTTTTCTGCTGATTTCAAGGAAAAGTTATATTTAGTGACACAAGCAATTACATAATGCCAAATTTTTCCTGTGTTGTGTATTTCACTTGTTTTTTCCAACAACTGTAACTCACAGAATTGCAGACCTTCTCATTACCACAACCAAATCTCCTACAAAGAATTTTTTCCCCATGTCTACAGTAAACTGTCAAAAAATCTGTGCTTTGAAGATTTTCTGTTAAAAAGAGCAACAGAATGAACAAATTTATGTTCATGGAGTATATGAAGATCAGCTTCTTATTTTACTATATTATTGATTAAATAATTAGGAAAGTGTCCCAAAGTAATTTTTTAAAATTAACAAAATACCACATTAGGGTATTTGGTCTAGCATATTTTCAAATAATTTTATAACCTTTTTTGTATCTGCCGTTTCTAATTTTATATTTGATAGTTTTTTCGGTTCTAGTTTAGAAAAAGCTTTAACACAGTTTTGCAATCATCAGATATTTTATGCAGCTCACTAGCAGATTAAGTGGTGTTTTGCTTTCTTACAATGCTTACTCTATTAATTTTATGATCTGAAAAATTCAATACAGGATTAAAAGAATCTAATTTTGACTAAAACAAAGGCTACAACTCCAGAGCCAACATCTCCCTATCCAAAGCAAGAGGATCCAAAGGAACAGGGACCAAACAAAGAAACAGATGTAACAGAGTCTCACAATGTAATGACACTCCAAGGACACAGTCAAGCCCCCAATTCAACAGGACAGGTAAGCATATTATCTGTGATTTCATGAGCCATCTCAGTGACTCAAGAGGCTACACTGTACTTCAAAGTGATCTTGTGGTTAATTACATGCTGAATCAAGAATGTGATGTATATACTCAATTACCAGTTTAAAATATATATTATCAGTATTTTGCAAAGGCTGGGAAAAAAAGGGTCTTTGAATCTGAGCATCAGATCTCAGAGAAATGTTAATTCAGAAAGGGCCTGAGATACAGGAAGTGGTTGCCAAGAGAGGCAGTGGATGCCCCATCCCTGGAAGCATACAAGGTCAGGTTAGACAGCAGCTCTGAGCAACCTGATCTAGTTGAAGAAGTCCCTGCTCATTGCAGGGAGGTTGGACTAGATCATCATTAAAGGTCCCTTCCAGCCTGAACTTTTCCTCAATCCCATGATTCTAGGTCTTCTTTAGGTCTGGCCCCATAAAAAGACATTCTAGGAAAAGACAGAAGAGTGCAAAAGCTGATGAATCACCAGTCAGCCACAAGTGGCAAAGCTCTTCTTAAAAGTCCCTTCTGCTTTCCTGCTCTGTCACCTCCCTGCCCCATCCAACATACACAGTCACTCAGCCCCCTAAATCAGGTCGTAGCCAAATGCTACAAATTGTAATTTCTCTGTCACAGCTAAAATTTGTATTTTTTATAATACTTACTACTTTTGTTTCCTCAATTTGTCTTAGTGTATTTTGCTGGACTGCTTTTAATCTATTAAGTCCATTTTATATCTACTGATGCAACTGAAATAAAACACATACAATGAAAGAACAGGCACATGTCATGCCTGCACAGGCAAACTTACCCTGGCTGAGTGTCATCAGTCACACAATGGTACGTAAAAGTTCCAAACATTTGCACTCCCAGGATCCCATACAGGAGAAGAAAGAACAGAAGGAAAATTGAAACGCTCCATATTTGCTCTCCAGAACGCCTGGCAAAAAGATAAACAGGTCACTGAAAGCACAGGCAATGTGATGCCTCCTCTGAAGAGCTCTAGCATAGAAAATATGCTCATGCATAAGGGAGCAGTATTTCATCCTGTAGAAAATTTGTTCATAAAACTGTTCTCTCACTCTGTACACAAATAGAGAAGGGAGCTGTGATTCTTTTCTAAACCCCTAAGTAAGGGTAATTAAACCAGCTGAAAACTGCAAAGGGTGGAACCAAAATACCCAAATAAAATGTGCAAAATAGTATTTAATGACTCATACAGACAAGATACGGTGATGAAATAAACTTGATACCAAATAAAGACCAAAAAACACTTTCACATTACCATGACATGTTTTTTGCCATTACATGCTGTACAAAGCACACTTACACATGTTTGTTTGCATCTTTGTATATACAGCAATACATGCACACTCGTAACTGGAATGATCAGGGCATGTGCTCACATACTGCTGTTTACAAATATTACCCTACTAAAGGTATTCACCTTGATTATTAAATGGCCATATTAATGGAACATATTAATGGAATTTACTTCCATTGTTTGAAAATTGCTGGCTACAGTTATTAGCAAAATACTTTAAAATTTATTTAAATATTTGAAAGTTCTACAAAACTTGATGATTCCTTAAATATGGAAAATAGCAAGATTTTTTTGGCCAGAAAACTCAGGCGGAAAATGCCCATTAAGCATGAAGGGTCATTGATGGATTACAGAGTCTTCTAAGTCAAAACTGAAATAAGCTCTATTATTTTTCAGACAACAGCCTTACTTACTTCAGGATATTTGTTATCCTAGTTCTTGGCAGCTCAAAACGAAAATATATTCGGAATGCTCGAATCATAATGAGCGGTCGTGGAATCCGTAACATGCCCCAAGGTGACATTTGGTCAACTATTTCAGCTATTTCAAACACCTACAAAGAAAAGAATCAGTGGTTTGTCCTCATGACCCTATCCTGCACCTGTGTTCACTTTCAGAGCTTTTAAATGTACTAATACTACACATGATTTTTTTATTTTCATTTTCAATCTTGGCTTATTTTGCAGTTTACTTCAACCACACTTTTTAAAAAGAAAAGTCTTTGTAAATATTTTAATTCACTTCTAAATTACCCTAATGAAATTCATAAAATATACTCTGCCCATGTTCATCATGTTTGAGTCTCAAACAAATCAAGACTGTGCAAGCTTGTGCCTGCTGCCTATTTCTGTGCTAGTCCTACCCCACACATTCCTCACAATACTGTTAATGATTAATATATATTTCAAAATATGAAAACCAGTATCTGTTAATCTTCCACAGCACTAAGATTTTTTACAATTATATAGAAGTACATGTACACAGTTGCCCTAATAAGTTGCAACGTGACTATAAATTCTCCATTAAATTCCAAGTGCAGTGCAAGACTGTACATCATCTTCTCTTAGACTCCACTTACAATATAAATTTCAGCCAAGGCAGAGAACAGAGAACCATTTCCTCAATACACTGACAGGTTATGCACTCAATAAAAAGTATTTAGCTGAATGATTGGGTGCAAATGTCTTGTTATAATCCTTGTCTCTCACTCTTGGAGAGTAACTGCTTGATTTAATGTTTGCTCAAAGTACTAAGAAAATGGAGGGAAAACCTGGCAATGCATAAACTGGGTAATGTACAGTTCTTATCTGTAATGATCTACCTTCACTCTGCATGTGTACAAGGTGTACCAAAGTCTCCCCTGTGTAAAAAGCAGAAAATTACGTGTCTTAAATTTGTCAGAAATTCATAAGTTCTTAACAGCAATCACTACAGAACTTTTACAATCCTTATGCTACTGTAAACTCAGTGTCAGTTTTCAACCTGTTCTTACCCAGAAAACCTGCTACAGTTAAGGGCTGATTGATTTGCATGACAAAATTTCACCTATACCTTAACACTGTAATTTTTTTGCAATGTGTTGAAGTTTCCTTCTTTATAAAAATTTATCAGACTGCTTCCTAATGTTTTGTTTTGTTTTGTTTTTTCATTGTGCTTTAACATGAATTTTGGAAAATGTTTTGCTAGGTATGAGTGATACTGCATGAAACCACTCCACTCACTGTATCATTACAACTACAGAATGGCAAACATCTAACATTGGAATAATTCTCCCTTTAGATGCCTGAGCTAGTCACCATGGAACCCTACTAGACTCACTGGTAGGAAATGAGCACAACTGTCATGTGCAGTAAGAGAGAAATATCTCTCTGAAGATCCTCTTTCTCCTTCTGACTACACAGGGTATATGTTTACAAACTGCAGATGAAATAAGAAAAAATAATCAAGATAAATTATACTACTAACGTAGATATGCTGCAACATGCAGTCATAAATTTGTTGAACTCAGCATGGTTTTTAAAACAATTTGATCAGTGTACAATTCTATTTCCACAACTCACATTTATTGAATTGCACCATGTATTTTTCAGAATTAAGGAACTATTCATTTTAAGAGGAAATGAAATGATTACCTGTAAAACCAGTGACACCCAAAGACAAAAGACCATGAAGCCATCAAACACACACCAACGATCCTTTACATAGGAGCTATCACCCTACAAGAAAGGAAAGCTAAGAGGTTAATTTTTGTTTATTGCCAGAATTTACAAATATCATAAGCAAGAGCTCTTGGAAGGAGAATAAGAAGTCTTTCCTGTGCACTTTTAAAAGGCCACTTTTAAAAAACTCCAAAAGCCTAGTAACAGATTAGAATATGCTGGAAACATATATACACATTGTGTGGGTGAATAAATGCTAACTCCATTCTTGTGTGATATTTCTCAGTTTGTGTCAAAAAGAATGTACAAACACTTTTTGTAAATCAAAAAACACACAAAAAAATGAACACTGGACTTACTTTTCCATTGTATTTCCCATTACAAGATACTTACACAGGAAGATCAGTGTAAAATGCTAGCAATCTAGTATAGTGCTATTCAATTAGTACTGTTGAACAGCTTCAATTAAATCAGTATAATTTTACATTCATTTCTTCATAAATTTTCTATCATTTTCCATGCTCTAGAGAAGCCCTTCTATTTCAAAAACACTTGATAGTAACCACTGTAACAACATCAGAGCATGGTTTTGTTGACAAACCAATTCAGAGATCACTCCTAAAAGGCAGTATGGAGAATTCTGCATCCAAGCTCAGTTTCTGTTAAACTGCACTATTCTCAACCTCTGTTCCAATTTTCATGTTTCAATATCCTCAAGTTTCACACCATTCCTGAAAACATGCAACACAGGCCTTCTACTGCAAGCTATAAGAACACTTTGTTGGGCTGCTAATGCCTGACACTTCACTTCAAACACTGAACTCAAAAATATCTACATTAATTACATAGATTATGGCTGGGGGTTAGATAGCTTTGTGTACCTCATGGAGCACAGAGGAAGTTGGGGAACAAATACATATAGAGAGATTAAGCTTGTTGAAAGGGAGACTAGACAAAAATACATATAAGGAAAGTGGATGTCCCATATATGTAGAAACACGCAGAGGCAATGACGGCACAAAATCACACCTTTTCAAATTAAGTTCCTCACAACAGATTTAATACATCCTTCCCTGCCTTATACACTTTTTGAGTCCTCTTAAGGGATTTCCAGGTGAAAATGACAATGCTTGACATCCACTTTTCACAGCTGTAATTGGGGAAAAATTATTGTCATGTCTCAAGAATCCTGAAGCCATTGACAGACATTGGCCTCATATGTGAGTCCTGGCTTTATAAACATTTTTCTTTATCTCAGTTATAGTTATTTCAGTATTTTTTAAGTCTCAGCATTGTCATCGATTCTAAAAGCACAGACAAGATGTTTTGTTTTAATCTAGTATTTTCAGCAACATACACTATCCTAAAAATGATTTATCATTCCTTGCAGCAAGTGACAGCATGATATATTGTGTAAATAGAGACAAAATATATTTTAAAAATTTATTTCAGTTGCAAAAATGCTTCAGGGTGGAAGTGAACTGTTAGGGAGTCACGAAGATACAGTAAGTAATTTTCATATCAGAAATAGAGGACAGAGAACGATGGTACTACTTTCAGGCAAGGATTTTCTAACACATAAGTACGTTAAAGTTCTCAGTTCAAGAACTATGAGGAGGAAGATCAGGGAAGCAACAGAACAGGAACTTTTGCATCATATTTTTAGCCTGTCCTTCCTGAAGAAAGTAGACCTCGTTCCACAAGTAAACTCTGAGCTAATCAGTAGCTCTTCACTCAGGGCTGAGAGAATTCAGCTATTTAGTGGTTATACTCGGTACCTGTGAAGCAGAAACATGGTATTTCTTTCAGAGATCAGCTACTCAAACTCTAAATCTCTTACTCTGGAACAAATCTACAACGAGATTTGTATCAACATGCAACTTGAGTCCTTCAGTTGTGGCTCAGAACAAAAATGCTGATTGGTCTTTCTCTTGCTGAAGAACTCATTGAAAATTACTTTTCTTCTCTTAAGCACCCTTTGTCTAAACAGAAAGTCTTCCCTGAACTGTGCTGTACAGATCTGAGCAAGAACATGTGCAGGAGTTCCTGTATTCACCCTCCTTTGAATAACCCACCAAGTTCTCACTGAAAGCCAAATCTTTTTTTAGAAGCTGCTTTTTCTCTCCACAATAGGTGTGGTATGATTGTTAAGTAGCTTTGCTGTTTTCTCCTTACAAAGGAAGATGTCATGACCCTTTCCAGTCTTCTCATCAGTCAGGCTGCTGCACCACCTCACTGCTCTCACTGTCACATCAGGCCTGCTTCCACCGCTACACCCTCCCAGTAAGGGTGGCTTTCAGTGGATCACTCACAGAAACTCAGCACACCTGAATTACATCTGAAGAAAATACTCCTTTTAGGGGAGCTCCTGGCCCTTTCCGTGTAGACAGGCTTTGGCTAAATCCTATTAATGTTTGCCATTTGTCTGGCAGTGAATATGGTGGGGAACATTTAATGCTTTTATACTATGTATTGACATGTGGATGTTAGTTGCTGTTGGAAGCATTTTTAAGGCAGGACCACATTCTGCTTAATTCAAAAATCAGAATATATGTGCTACTTCCATGAAAAATCTAATTCTAATCTATACAGGCTAGAACTTATATATTAATAGTAATGAACAGTGGGTTTCATGCATATTTGAAAAAAAAGCTTTGGGCTGAAACACCACACTCGTGGTCAACGGTAGCTCTTAGACTTGGAAAGGAATACAGATAAATGACATTTAAATACCTCTGGTGACATCGTACCTAAAATAGCTGAAATATTGCAATGTGTTAACCCCACAACCTTTTTTCATTGTGTCTGCTGAAATCTGAGAATTACTGATGAAGTTTCATTTAGTATTCTTTTCTGAATGCACTATTCCAGAACATGAAGGATTAGTACTGTAGACAAGAAGACTTGAACAGAGACTAATCAAAACCTCTTATAGTCATTAAAGTTGCTGTACTGCCTACAGTAGATATTGGAGTATACATGTGCACAGCAAGTCCTGAAAGCCTCTCCAGCAACATTATTTACAACCTATCTAGACAACAAAATAATTTGACACTCCTCCAGAATAAAGCAACACTACAAAGTGCTGGAAGATCCACTTTGTCAGTTGTGCTGAGCACATTAAAGATAAAATGCCTACTGCCAGTATTAGGTGCCCTGGACAATCATTATAGAAGTTCACAGGGATTAAAAAAAAAAAGACCTAACACGTTGAAAATTTGAGTCAATACAAAATACAGAGAGAACTAATAACACTTGGGGCAGTCACTTCATGAGAGCCATTACAGTTTAACTCATATGAGAAGACTAGATAGAATGGGAATTCTTTAATAAACACTTATTTCATTATCAACCTCACTGAAAACAAAATACTCTATGAAATTAACACCCAAATTAAGTGAAGAAATCTGCTTGAAGATTGATTATGTCTGGTAATTTTCTTAAGCAATTTCAGTATCTGAAATCAGATATCTGAAATCAGAATTGCCTTACCGGTGGTAAGGTAGACAGCTTAGCTAGGTGACCCCGAGGTCACTTCTGCCCTTCTTGTCTCTTAACACCTCAGGAACACCTTGGGATGAACAGCAAATCCCTGCAAATCAACAGCCTTCTCTGCCTCCCTGCTTGCCCTCAGGAATTTTTGTTTCTCTTTTATCCCTGACTACAACCTGTTCTCTCAACCCTTCCCTCTTGCCTCTTTCCAGCTTACTCTGAAAGCTAAATAAAAGAAGTAATATGATATTATTGAATAATCAGATTTATCATCATTTGGATAGGAGTCCTGCACTGTAGGATCTCTCATTAGAACCTTAGTCTCACATTTTTCCTCAAAGTCCCTGAAAAACAGGATAGCTGAAAGAATGCAGAGACACCAGCAAGCTCAGTAACAATGAGCTACTGTGTCATTCTGTCATGATCACTGGATCCTGCATGTGCTGGAAGTGTTAAACAAAGCACATCATCAACTCTGGTACACCCTTCAGATCATCCTGTGGGCTACCTCATAAAGCACTACAGACAAGCATTAAGGTGTGGAGGCTGACATCTATGGAGATTTTAGGAGCATCAAAAAAAGCACAGGATGAAATGGAAGGAATAGAGGGAATAAGAATTGGGAGTGTATTTTTTTCTTCCAGATGAAGTGCCCATTATAACACAGAGAAAGCAAGGTAGAAGAGGGAGCACAGCTGAGTTAGGGAAACCAACCTTCCCTTCCCCACTCTCTGGCTCCACACAAACACTGCTGGGCACAGAGGTGTGAGTGGGTCACAAAATTAAATCAGAGCTCAAGGGAGCACCTTGCCTAACCTCTCTCTCCCCTTGCACATGCAGATACATATACACACACAGATGGCATGTATCTTCTACCTGGTCACAGACTATGCATACATTCCTTATAGTTTTGGCTCAGCTTCAAGCTTTTCCTATGTACTTTAAAACCTGCAGTTTACAGTCTGCTTAGCAGCAGAACGATATGGACAATCCAGTCCAGTCCCCATCCTGACAAACACTTCCAATATTTTACTCACACAGTAAAGACAATGAAGAAATATGGCCTAATCAAGAAAGAAAACTGCATCTGACTTCTGTTCTCAATTCTCCTTTCCATCCCTCAAAATAAAACTATTTCACTAATGTTCTCATGTGTCAAACAAAGGTTGGGAACAAAGGGCAGAAAACAAAGGAAATTGTAAATTTCTTAGTTAGGACCATCCTAATAACTAAAGAAAAACTGACATATTTTAAAATAGGTGGTTCACCTCTAAGTTAGTCCTCTACAACAGGGATAGAATCACTTCAAAATAACCCAAAATATATTTAGTCTAAAAGTTTGTATTAAGAAACAATGTATGTGTGTGGAAATGACACAGCTTCTCAATTTCTGCAAGTCTTTTTTATGATACAGTATCCTCATTCATAATGAAGGAACTTAAAATATACTCACGTAAGAGCAACTGATTTGAAACAGCCAATGGAATTACAATTTCTGTGTAAAACTTAACTCTGAATGTCTACAATGAGTAAAATATCACTTTATCATCACTGAATTTAACAAG